AATCGTTTTTTTTTTTTTTTTTTTTTTTTTCGTCTCTTGTTCCTTCAATGTTCTTGAATTTCGCTAGTTGATTCCAGAATTTTCGATCCTTTTTGTGTTCTCTGTTTCGCACTGGACAGTTGTGTAATTGAACTCTGCTGAAATATGTCTTTTATGCCGGATTTTCGTATGTCTTCTCCGTTTCTGGTTTATTTTGGAAGTTTATCTCCATTATTGGTTGGATATAGGTACTATGCTGGTTTTTTGAACTCATACTTTTAGGTTTTGTCAAATATGGGAAGAGAAGAGAGCATGTTCTTAGCTATCCATTTCTTTTGAACTCATAATGTCGGCTGATAATACACACGTTTCAGGGGCCTTTGGAGGGTTTTACTGTTCGAAAGCTGTAGTTTTTTCTTTTATTTATTCGTGTGTATCGTCTCAATCTGTTGCATGTATGTGTCAGGGGATTGAAAAGTTTGTGCAGTTCAGGGGCTTTTTTCTTCTGTAAACAGATTATTTTACCTTGTATTCTCCTGCTCTATTGCTTTAGGGAATACAAGTTCATGGCAACTGCAACTATGGCCACGGCTGCTGGTGCAGCTGCACTTCTATATTATACATTGAACCGTAAGTTGCACTCAAGTAGAGATCAAGATGATAGTGATGTAGCTGGTAATGATGCTTCCAGTCATGCTCTTCTGGGAGGTGATCGAGTTTCTCATAGACTAGTTCAAGCTCCTGCTACATGGCTCGAAACAATTTCAACATTATCAGAGACACTTAGGTTTACGTACTCGGAGACTCTTGGAAAGTGGCCCATTGGGGATTTGGCATTTGGAATTAATTTTCTCTTAAAGAGACAGGTATGGAGCTTTTTGATGGTTGTAGTCTTTTAATGTATTAATTTAGTCTATTATATGTGTAAGCTGGTTGGTTTTGCTTTCATTATTTCTCCCTTCAAAGCTGAATGTACTGATAAATCTGTTTCCTTATAAGTGTTACTACTTTAAAGTGCGAGAGAAAGCGTTTTATATTCCTTTCACTTTTGGTTTATGTGATAATAGTGGGCTTCACTTCATTTGATCTCTAGTTCTCCTAATGCACATCAAGACTTGTATGATGAGTACTTATGCTCTAGTTGAATTTCATTGTTGTACCTTTCATATTTCCACTCACACGTAAGGAAAGGTCTACACTCTTTTATTAGTGGTTCATAAATAGAAGATCTTTATTATACTATCTAATTGTGGTCTATTTGTATGTATTTTTGAAAGAATAAAACAGATGAGCTGATTATATTATGATGGTAAATGGTCTTAGAGTTTTTGGTTTTGAGGGAAAAGAGAGGATGGTTTATCAATTTTTACCTGGAAAGGCTTATCTTATGGAGGTTGGCAAGGCGTATTTCATTGTTGGGTTTGGAGAAAGAGGACTTCAAAAAAAAAAAAAAAAAAAAAACTGAGTTTCAACTTCTCCAAACAAATTAAACGTTCATTCTTCAAAACTTCACATTTCTTATAGTGGGTAATGTATGGTTGTTTTGAGTGGCTTACCTACTTACTTTCTATCTCTATTTAGAGTCCTTAGCTCGATGAGTAAGGCTTGAGAAGTTGATGGGGTATTTCTTATAGGAGAGTTTTGAGGATGGAGGTGGGTTGCACCTTGTGGATTGGGAGATGGTTTCAAGGCTGTTGAATTGGAGGGTTAGGCATTGGTAATGTGTGGGTGACTAACATAGCCTTTTAGGTTAAATGGCTCTGGTGATTTTATCATGAACCGACACTTCATTGCACAAGGTGGCTTCATCCTTTTGATTGGATTGATTGGACTAAATGGGAAGGATACCTATTTTTGGGAGAATAAGTGGTTGGGGGGGTGTCCCCTATGCACCCTGTTTCCTAATTATACCAGCTGTTCTCTTCCAGGAATCATTACGTGGCATTCTCTCCGAATTTTCGCCTTCTCCTCCTCCTTTGGGTTTCCGTCGTTCGTTGACTACTAGCGAAACAGCAGTTTTCTTGTCTCTCTGTCTTTGTTGGGAGTTTTTCTCTTTATACCGGAGAAAGGGGATATTTGTCCTTGGTCTCCTTGTCCTTCCAAAGGCTTTACATGCAGCTCTTTCTTCCGCTGCTTAATCAATCCCTCCCATGCTAATGCCTCTATCATTTCCTCAGTATGGTAGGTAAAAATTCTGTGAAGGTGGAGTTCTTTGTATGGTAGGCTTTGCATGGACGGGTGAACACGTTGGATCAGATCTCAACCAAAGGATCCTCTTTGGTTGGGCCTCAGTGTTGTATTTTGGAAACTGAGGATCTTGATCATATTCTTTGGAGTTGTGTTTTTACTCGAGCTTGTTGCTGTGGTTTCTTCGATGATTTCTTAACACTACAATTTTTAAGTGGAAGGAGAGCCCCTGTAGTGATGTTTGGTCTTTTGTTAGGTTCTCTGTTTCCCTGAGCCTCAAAATTTAGACTTTTTTTTTTCTTTTTTTTTTTTTGTAATCACTCGGCAGTCTTCTTTTTTGCTTAGTTGGAGCCCATTCTTTTAGTTGGCTCCCCTTTTGTGGGTTTTTATTTTTTATTTTTTGTAAGCTTGTATGTTCTTTCATTTTGTTCACAATGAAAGTCAAGTATTTCACAAGAAAGGTACGGTGGGTTAGTAAGAAATTTTAGGTTTTTTTTTTCTTGTATTGATCTTCTGTAACTTTAGTCTAGCTTTGTTGGTGGTTCATAAAATATGAGCTAAGGAGGGTAGAAATTATTAATTCTATTCCTATGGGAGAGGGTGGAAGAGGGGAATTGTTTGCATTTGGTGGGTTGGGAGGTGGTCTCTAGGCCCTTGGACTTGGAGTGTTCAGACATTGATAATCTTAGGATGAGAAACACAACCTTGTTGGCTAAATGGCTTTGACAATTCTATCATGAAGTTGATACCGTATGGTACAAGATTATTGTTGGTAATTACAGGTCCTACCCCATTGAGAAAACCAGTGAGATGTTAAAAAAGGCACTTCAAAAAACCTGTGGAATGAGATTGTGATGGAGCTTCCTATTTTTCCTCAGTTTATTCATAATGTAGTGGGGGATGGGCGGGATACTTATTCATGGGAGGATATGTGGTTAGAAGATGAACCTCTCTGCTACCACCCTTGCTTATAACATTTATTCTCCTTACAATCGGCGGCTTCAATTCTTGATCCGGTGGATTTGCTGCTCTCTCCTCCATTGGGTCTTAGACAACCATTGACCATAGGAAGACGTGAGATGTCTTGAATCTCACTCTCATCTTTTCCGACTTAGGCCTAGAGGGGGGATGTCCTTTGGATTTTTGTCCAAAGGTTTTTTGTGTAGCTCTTTTTCTCTGTGTTTATCCAACCCTTTGTCTGTGAATGATTCTATGTTATCCTCAATTTGGAAGGTAAAGATTCCCAAGATGGTGAAGTTCTTCACATGACAGATTTTTCACTGAAGAGTTAATACCTTGAATCAAATCTCGGCCAGAGCGCCTTTGGTGGAGCTTATCCTTCATCTGCCTTTTCTTGATTAAGGGCGGTTTTTGGCAGACTAGGGGGTGTGCTATTTTGTGAAGGTTGTGGGGCAAGAGAAACAACATAATCTTCTGAAGGTGTGAGAGTTCTAATAGCGATGTTTGGTCCTTTATAAGATTCTCTGTTTCTCTCTTGGGGTTTCTTTTGAGACTTCTTTAATTATTTTCTAGGTCTTATTTCTCTTGATTGGAGTCATTTCTTGTATTTTGACTCTATTTTGTGGGCTTTTCTTTTTGTGTGTCCATATATTCTTTCATTTTTCTCCATCAAAATCATTCAAGTTCCTTCATTAAAAAAATCAATTCCTTATGAAATTCTCGGTTGGGATGTAGCCTGTGGAATTTGGAGGTTGGGGTTTTTTTTTAGGTCAGATATTTTAGGGTTGAAGTAGTTTAAAGGGAATGCTGTTGTAACTTCCTTGAAGGGAATTTTTTTTTGTGGGGGTACTATGTTGTAATTTGTAATACTTGAAAGGAATACCTTTTTTTTTTCTTCTTTATTACAACTTTTCAGACATCAACAGAGAGTTCTTGTTTTCTTTTTTCTTTTTTTTTTTAAAAAAATCCTCAATAGAAGAAGATAATGTTTGATCTGAACAATTTAAGTTAATTACAAATGCTGCTACTTATCTTATTGGTTTGGCCTTTGATGGGATGTGCTTAAGTGCAGGGAAACTTACATGTAAGCGGTGTATTTGGCAATGAAGACAGTAGTCAGCTTAAGGGAGCTGAAATGATTAGTGAGCTGAAGTACCTCTTGCACTTATTGACTTTGTGTTGGCACTTCTCAAAAAAACCATTTCCGCTGTTTCTAGAAGAAACTGGTTTTTCCGAGGAAAATGTTCTCCTTCAGGAACCAAAGGCAGGAGTAAGTCTTGATGAACTTCGGATGAACATTGAAATAGATATTGTACATTGTACACTTCCTCTCACTTCTTCGAGTTTGATTTATCATTAACATTTATCACATTAATCGATGACTGCAGATTTTAAAGCCTGCTTTTACCATTATAGTTGACCATAATACAAAGTGTATTCTCCTGTTAATTCGTGGAACACACAGTATCAAAGACACTCTTACGGCTGCCACTGGAGCTGTGGTGCCATTCCATCATAGTGTTGTGCATGAGGGAGGGGTTAGCAATTTGGTTTTAGGATATGCGCATTGTGGAATGGTTGCAGCTGCTCGTTGGATTGCAAAGCTATCTACTCCTTGTCTTTTGAGTGCACTTGGTCAATATTCTGGTTATAATATTAAGGTTTGACATTTCTTCTTAGTCTACTGTGCTTTTTAGCAGATAAAAGTATAAAGAACAAAAAAAAAAAAAAACTTGATGGAAAAATCTTTTGTTGGTTTCTAATAGGTTGTTGGGCACTCTTTGGGTGGAGGAACTGCTGCACTTCTAACTTATATCTTAAGAGAGCAGAAGGAATTATCCGTTACTTCTTGTGTGACATTTGCCCCAGGTCTGTATTTTTCTTGCATGGCTTCTCTGTGGCATTTTCTATTATGCCTATTATACTTGGACATGATGTTCCGACTTCTTTTTCTTATCAACTCTGCAGCTGCTTGTATGACGTGGGAACTAGCAGAATCGGGCAATGAATTTATCACTTCTGTTATTAATGGAGCTGATTTGGTGCCCACCTTCTCAGCTGCTTCAGTAGATGATTTGCGTGCTGAGGTATGTTTCAAGTTCATCTAATTGTTAAGAAATTTATTTGTTTTAAGTTATTTAACACATATTACCTACAGGTGACCTACAGTATTACTGCATCTTAGTGTGTGTGTGTGTTAGATACTCACTAAGATGAATGAAATTTAGTTAAATTAACCACATCACTCTGACTTTTGCTGAAGGAATTGAAATATCTGGTGTAGGTGACTGCTTCTGCTTGGGTAAATGATCTGAGAAATCAAATTGAGCGCACTCGAATTCTTAGCACTGTTTACCGTTCTGCTTCGGCATTGGGATCCCGTCTCCCATCCATAGCCAGTGCAAGAGCAAAAGTTGCTGGTGCAGGGGCCATTCTGAAACCAGTCTCTAGTGGTACACAGGTAACCTGCGTTGTGCACATGTGATCCCTACATAGTAATTTTAATAAAGCCGGAATTTGACAGAAATTTTGAAGTTGACGTGATTTGGCTCTTTGACTCATTAATAGTTTACTGAAACGTGATGCAGCTTGAAACCTTTTGGAATTCATAGGCAGGCTTAGGATCTCGTGAACTTAGTTTAGACTTCAATTAAACGGGTCATACGATTCCCAATACGAGGCCATTTGTTTTGCAATGATCTTGGAACCCATGAAATGGATATCCAGAGGGTTCGTTTTTTCTTGACTGTAATGTGGGATGCCTGAACAGGCATCTTAGGATGTTCTTACTACTTTTCTATGAACAAACACAATCATCTAAAGATTTCAGGCATCCAGGTTCTCGAACAATTAGATATCGGACATCTAATGATGACCCTTAATATTCATGGGGATGTTATGGCTGGTTAGTTCCTGTGACTTGTTTATAATAGTTAAATTTATAATTGGTTATGTTTGGTATTTCTACAGGTTGTGATGAAGAGAGCACAGAGCATGGCTCAGGCAGCATGGACACGACCCTCCCTCCATTTATCATCGTGGTCATGCATAGGCCCACGTCGTAGAGCCATGACTTCTCACTCGACGGCTGAAGAAAATGGAAGTTCTCCAAAATCATCTCCAAGAAAAATGGAATCTTTTGAGCCGCTTAGATCATCCCCTCAAGAAATTGTTGAAGCTACCGAACTTCCGGAATCTTCAACTACAACAATACAATGGACTAATGAAATTGAATGTTCTTATTCTGAGGAGATAAATCCCGATGGCATGAGAGATGAGCTTGACGATGATGATCAGGCCCTCATGAGTCATATTCAGGATGAACAAATTACGGAAGTAGAGTTATGGCAACAACTTGAGCATGAACTACACGATAGGAGTGAGGCTGATGTTGCCAAGGAAATAAGGGAAGAAGAAGCTGCTGCTATGGCAGAAGTAGGACAATCTGATAGCTTTACTTCTGGAATGAAGGAAGCACACAGATTTTTTCCTGCTGGGAAGATCATGCACATTATCGAAATCGAAACTCAATCAGATGCTCCTGATTGTGAAAGTGATAGCAGCTCCAGATCCAGCACCTCAGACAGTAGCCCACAGGCGCAGTCTAGGACTGGTATTTTCCTTACGTCAAGATCACTGTATAGCAAACTCAGATTGTCTCAGACAATGATAAGTGACCACTACATGCCAGCTTATAGAAGACAGATAGAAAAGTTAGTTAAAGAACTGGAGAAAGAAGAATGTTGTAATCGTGGAATGGAGAGGTAGAAGAGCTTTATACAGAAAACTAATTGTAGTGACACTACATACATATTTTCTAACACAACTTCTGTACAGAACAGGCTTTGCGTCCCCAATGACTTAGAAACGTATTGTCTTAATACGAAAAGTCCTCCACTGCTATTGGTTGAATGAGGTAATTACTTTTTGGCACTGCTCAATATCCTTTGGGTGTAATACGAATGGCAATGGATTCAGCTCAAGCTGCTTTCAGAATGTTATCATTCTCGATGCAAAGATGTCTCAGTATCATTATGTTGCTGATTCTTTATTTGCTTCTGTTTGAATGTTAGTTTTTTACTGTTTGTTAAGCAACTTGTATGCACTGACTGAAAGATAAGAGGTGTTTATGGATGTGATCTTTCACGAGTTATTCGTAATCAGCTGAGTCAAAAGTTTATTTTACCATCGTAATTACATCTTTCATTTTTAGTATCACTTATTTGACCATAAAGTAAGACCCTCTATCTGTGAGAAGGTAAGATTCTGTTGGATTTTATTGTTCAAGTTTCAAAATTAGTACCGAAGGAAATTAATCATTTACAATTTTATCTTACAAGATTATGTTTTTAACGCTCTTTTTAGTCACATAGACATATTGGATTGACTACAAAAGTGATTTGAAGGACAAACTCTCATAAACGGGAGTTTATAACTCGCTCAAAATTATGATGGCCAAAGATTTGTTTTAGGTTTGGATGAGAGGATTTGCCATGTTGTTGAGGTCATAGCCTCTACCACCTATGCTACCATTCTAAGAGAAAATAAGGCTATAGAGGGAGGTGAGCCGAAGAACTCCAAGGGTCGGTAGCTCCGACAACCAGAGTAGGACAGAAGTTACGTTACGATCAGATTGATCCGCACAGTCAGCCACCAGTACACCCATAGGAGACGATGCTTGGCTCGGACCGGAGAGTGCTTCAAGTGTGACCAAAAGGGCCACATCACGAATAACTGATTGAGGAAGACCACGAAGCATCCTATTAACCAACCTATAGGCTCAAGTAGTGCAAAGAGGACTATGCATGCTCGCTCTCAAGCGAGAGCATATGCTTCCACTAGTAAAAACTAAAAAATGCTTACACTAGTAAAGACTCAAAAAAGGCAGTCTAGGTGGTGTCAAACACTATTTGTCTTTGACATAAGGTCTACACATTTGTAGACTAGGTGGTGCCAAACGCTATTTGTTTTTGGGCACTTTGCCATAACATTGTTTGACTTAAGGTCTACACATTTGTTTATATCTCAATCATTGGCTAGTTAGACACGATTTCCGTTAGAGTCTTTATTGCATGTATTTTCTGATAGTACTCTAGCAGGGGTAGACTGGATTATTGGGCTAAAAGGTGGGCAACTATCTGTATACCGGGACAGACTCTAGATGTAACCCTGATAAATTTTTTTTTTGTTCGTGGTGCCAGTGGTGAGTAAGTTCCCAAACGCTTTTTAGAGGATTTACCGAAAGTTCTCCTTCTTGAGCTATAAAATTCTACATAGAGCTCGAATTGGGTACCTACCCTATCTCCAAGGTCACGAACTGCATGACACTAGCAGAATTGAAAGAACTCAAAGTACGGTTGCGAGACTTGTTGAATAAAGGTTTCATGTGCCCCCAACGTGTCTTCTTGAGGTACACTCATGTTGTTTGTCAAGAAGAAATATGGATCAATGCGCTTGTGTGATAATTACAGGAACTGAGAATAAGAGAACAGTACAGAATAAGTACTCTCTCCCTTGCATAGAGGACCTATTTGACCAACTCGAGGAAGCGATAATGTTTTCCAAGATAGACCTACGGACAGACTATGATTGTGAACAACTCATCCAAAATGAGTTACGATCATTATGAGCTAATGGTTACTTCATTCGGGCTCACCAATGTTCATGGAGTTAATGAATCAAGTGTTCAAGGAATGTTTAGACACATTTGTTACCGTATTTATAGATGACATCCTAGTGTATTCTAAGATGAACCAGGAACACAAGTTACACCTCCGAAAAGTCCGAACAATCATGAGGAAAAACAAGTTCTTTGACAAGTTTTTCAAGTGTGAAATTTGGTTACGATAGGTCTCAGTCTAGGACATGTGCTGTCAAAGGATGAGGGTTTTAGTGGATGCCGCAAAAGTGAAAGCAATCACTAAGTGGATTCTCCCAACTACCGTTACTAAGGTGCGCAGTTTCTAGGGACTAACAAGATATTATCGACGCTTCATACAGGACTTCACTAAAATAGTCTCACCACCCACACAATTGACTAGGAAAGACGTTCCGTTTATGTGGAGGAGGCGTGTGAAGCAAGCTTCCAAGATTGAAGCATATGCTAGTGTCAACTCCAGTACTCACAGTTTCAGAGGGTTCAGAAGGTTATGTGGTCTATAGTGAGCTTCCAAGAAAGGGTTGGGGGTGTGTGTGTTGATTGAGCATGGGAATGTCATCACTAATGCATCTTGTCAGTTGAAGAATTATGAGTAGAAATACCCCACTCATGACTTAGAGTGAGCTACAGTGATCTTTGTAGTTACACTATCTGTATGGGAAAATGACTCAGATTTACCCAACATGAGAGTTTGAAGTACTTTTTAACCTAAAAGGAGTGGAACATAAGACAACAAAGGTGACTAGAATTAGCGAAAGAAGACACAAACATCTAGTATCACCCAAGAAAAAGCGAACATAGTTGTCGATACCCTAAATTGGCAAACGACCCACTTGTCTGTCATGTTTACTAGAGAGACACAAGAGTAAGCAGATTTTGAGAGCAAGTAGGAATTGGCCGTAGAGGGAGTTCTAGCATAGTTGACCCAACTTACCTTCCAAACCACACTCCGAATCAACAGATGGTGGACTGTTACAATAACGCAGTTGTGTGTACTCAGACTTGAAGAGCTAAAACAAGAGATACTTATGGGAATCAACAAATGGTGGACTTTATGAAATAACGAGGTGTGTGTTGCAGGGTATTCTGAAGTTCGGACAGAAGAGCAAGTTGAGCCTACACTTCTTCGGACCCTTGAACTAGTAGATCGATCATAGCCTTATTATCGTCTCTCCCTACGGTGCAAAGATTCGTTTACTATCATAGAAAAAATAGTATTCTAAAATAATAATAATACATAAATGTTGAATCACATCAGCATGTGGGTCACACAAAGTTCCACCAACTTCAATAATTCAACCTTTTTTTATATATATATTTTTAAAATATTAATAAATGATGTTGAAGTCTCTAATTTACTAATTATTATCTTATCTCTCCATTTAATTTATATATTGTCTAAATTATTCTTTTCAAATATATATATATATATATTGTCTAAATTATTCTTTTCAAATATATATATATATATATATATATATATATGACAGTGACTTCGTTTCATATCCTTTTTCTTTCACTTGGAAAAAGGAATTAATTTAGACTAATTATTGATAACTTTTTTTTTTCAATATTTTAATAACTAATAAAAAGCTGACTAGACTTTTTATTTTATTAAGTTGACGTGAAATTTCTTTGTTAAAAATAGTATATTTAAAAACCTTTAAAACTAAAATAAATTTAATTTCTAATTAATATATATATATATATATATATATATATGTATATATATATAGAGGCTTTTTTCTTCGCCTAATAAAGAATAGAAAAGAGGGGAATATAATGCTCTAGTACTCATTAGTAATGAAGAGTAACTACGCATTGTGATCATTAAAGATGCGTGTTAATTAACAAGCACAAGGCATGTGGGACACCATTGAGCATCGTGACGACGTCAAAGAGCGCAAGAACAAGATGACTCTTGCTACTATCTATCGAGCAATTTTAGAGGACGTCCATCTCATGTTGGCGGAGAAGAACTCAACAAAGGCAGTGTGGGAGATGTTACAAATAATGCATATGGATGCAGAACAGGTTAAGAAAGCAAAAGTACAGACTTTGGAAAACGATTTTGAGGTTGTCCACATGATGAATGGTGAGTCAATGGGGAGTTGACAATGATTGTTATTGACATTCACATTAGATGACAAGGTGAAGGAGATCTACGTCATCAAGAAGTCCCTCTGTGATTCATGTAGATCATTACCTCCATTGAGAAGTTTGATGACTTCAAGAACATGTTAGTTGAGGAGGTCGTTGGTCGTCTTAAGGCTCATAAGGAGAGACTTTTGCGGCTACGGTGACAGACAGGAAGAGAAGCACCTTTTACTCGCACACATAAAGTGGCTTGCACAGACTGAAAAGAAAAACGTGACTAATTTTTATTTTTTAGGCACGGACGGACTCGGCGATAGAAAGTAAAGTTGATGGGTGTGATCAGAGATGTGCTCACGCTATTGTATCGCAAACCATTGATGACGTCAACCCTCAGAAGGACAAGAGCGTGATCAAGTGTTACTCTTGTGAAAAATACTGGGGTTATGCGGCAAAGTGCCATAACAAGAGCACACTGAGGACACGACCCTCTTATTCACGCATGGCCAAAAGCTCCCACTGATGTTGATCATGCTCAATGAAGAGAAGGTTATGACAAACCACATCGTGAATGGAGAAGATCAAATGGCGACAAATATATGGTATCTGAACAACGGAATGAACAACCACATGACTTCCCGAAAGGCCCGATATTCCGATACAAGAACGACGATCCAAAGCAAAGGATCCATCTTATTCCGATACAAGAACGACGATCAGCATCTTTTGATCAAGGTATATTACATCCCATGCTTCAAGAGTAGCATTATTAGTCTTGGTCAAATGGAGAGAGAAGGGAGCAAAATAGAGTTAGTTAGCTCATTCATTCGGATGTTCGACAAAACGAAACCCTATTGATGAAGGTTAGACGATTGTCAAACCACCTATACAAGAGACTATTAAAGACAAGCCCACCCATCTTTTGATTACAACACTCGCAGACTCAGCTTGATTATAACATGCAAGACTTGGGCACCTAAATTTTTCATATGCTCAAAATGACGGGGGAGAAGAAGATGGCAATGAGACTACCAAAAATCCTACCCTCGAAGAACCAGTTATGTGAAAGTTGTCTAATCTCTAAGCAGACAATATTTTCATTTGCTGCTCAAACAAATTTGTGTGTCTGAGTGTCCATTGTTACAAGTGCATACAATTTTATATTGCCCGCTCACTCTAACATCAATTACTCGTAAAATGTACGATCGTGACACTCACTTACTTGGATCCATAGAAACATGTGGCTTCATTTTTCACCAACCATAACCAACCGTGACACTCACGTACCTGGAAGTGGTTCCTATTCCGAACAGGTTTTAACTTAGTGTGCTTCGATCTCGAGTCAAAATCAATATTTGAAAACTCATAAATCCAAATGCAATTTAAAAAAAAAAAAAAATACATTTTCCAACATTTTATAGTTCCACCAAAGTCCACTTGACATGAACAAATGAACCCAAATTAATTAATTATATATATATAGCTAGAAGAATGAAAATGAGAATAGTTCAAATAGTTTAGTTAATTATGGAATAAGTTAAAATAGGGTTCTATGCATAAACAATATTTAAATCAAATCAAGCTTTCAATTCAACTATATTTTATGGAATTACATTACATCAAAGCTGGCTCTCAATAAATAAATAAATAAATATATATATATATATATATATGATGAAATATTAATATACATTATCTTAATATTAATACAAACAACAACAACGCACATATTTTGAGCCTTTAAGTTCTAATTCATCACTTTCTCCAAATCTTATCTTTTTCCTTCCATCCCATCTCTCACATAGGAGCCAAAAACTCAAATATGGGTCAACCCTATGAGCCGGAAGAAGGGCAGCCTGGGGCGGGACTGCGGCGGGGGACACGTCGGGGGACACGTCGGGGGATGCGGTTTCGGAGGCGACGAATGCCAGTGGCACGGCTCGGGGGGAAGAGATCGGGGCGGCTTGTGGCTTGGGGGAGGATGCTGAGGAAGATAAGACTAAGATGGGTGAAACTGAAATGCATAGCCATGGTGAAGAAGATGAAAGAATACTACACAAGGTTGATGAAGGATATCATAGAGGCAGGAGCCTATGCTCGCTCTTATCAACATAGGCTTCTCTTGGAGACTTCTTTTGCCATTCCAATTCTCGGTGTCTCGCTCTCTACCCATTCCAGTGTTCTTGCTGCCACTTCGTAAATCTCCTACTCGTCTGTTTCATAACGTGTAATGTGTACATATTTGTTCATCATTCAAAAACTTACTCAGAAGAATTTTCGTTTGTTCCTTCTGTTTTCCTTTTTTATGAACTTATTCAATCTATGTATAAAATATGATAAAGAAAGGCCGATCTTATTTATTAAGACGATAAACGTTACGCTTCCACATCAAAGTGAGCTTTTTTGTTTTTTTGTTTGCTTTAATACTGTTGGTATTCCAAAAGTCCCTTTTCGAAGTCGTCGACGTATAGTGCGACTTGTCAGATATATTGGATCATATGGTATTTTTCCGTTCTTTTCTCCGATCGAAATATCCTCTCTTTCATTCAAGATGGATTAATTTAATTATAAAAAATTTGGAGCGTGAAACGAATTAGATCTATTTTGTGAGTATTGGAATTATTATCGATGAGAACCATTTATGCTTTTGTTGATTGTACTCATGAAAAAAAATCCAATTTAGAAAATTTTATTTATTAAGTAAATATTTAAAATTTTAATTAAATTATATTTTTTAAATATATAAATTGTCATTTTCGTGGTTGAAATAAAATAAAAGGAAAAGAAAGAGAATTTTCGTGGTTGTTTTAAGAAAATTTAAAAAAGAATTGTATTTTAGTGGAAAAAGGTTGTTAGAGTGTGAAATGAACCTACAGAGAGGACTTTTGAGTCTTTTTCCATAACATATTCTTTCTTATTTTAATTTATATATTTTTAAATATGAAAATTTAATTTTTATACTTTTAAGTGGTTTTAACGTAAACTTATTGTTGACTTCTTTTTCTAGAAAAAAAAAATTGTCTTGTTAAATGTTAACTTTTTTATATATATAATTTTCGATGACATTACCATTTAGAAGACTATAACACATGCATAAGGTAGTTGTATTTAATTTTGTAGGCTATAATATTAGTGTAGAGTATTTTTATTTTATTTTATGCTATAATGTTTTGTCTTAAAGATCTTTTATTAAACATATAAGTCTGTGACAATGTTTTATGAATACGTTTCAAATGATTATTTTGCCTATTACAGTTAGATAACTGTTGAGAATTGTTGGGGGTGAATCTCACCGTGGCTAATTTAGGGAATGATCATGGGTTCATAAGTAAAGGAATAATCTCCATTGGTATCGGGCCTTTCGGGGAAGCCTAAAGAAACACTATGAGAGAGCTTATGCTCAAAAGTATCATACTATTGTGGAGAGCAGTGATTGTTACATTAACGAAATAAAATCCAAGTTACAAAAATTAGCCCAAAATAAAATTTATTCTCAATACACAAGACATGGGATATATATATATATATATATGTGTGTGTGTGTGTGTGAAAAAAGGAAATAAAAATTTTATTTGGGTGTACACGAAATTCATCTAAAAGGGTCAAGTACTTCCACGTTGGCAGTCCCATTCCTTTCCTTTGACTTTATCGTTGACTTTGACTTTGACTTAGTAGACTATTTGAAAACTATCAGATGGAATAGAGATGAGGAGGAAGCCGAGGCTGAGCCACGACGTCCAGAGGGAATTTCTTGGGAGTGGAGAGTCCGAAGACTTCATCCATATTCAAATCTTCCTTCTTCATGTCCCCACCCAAACTCCAAGTAAATCCGTGCAGCAGATTGGCCAGGCTCGACTGAATAACCTTCAGCCCAAGGCTGTACCCAGGGCACATCCTCCGTCCAGACCCGAACGGCAGGAGCTCAAAGTCCTGCCCCTTCACGTCGATGCTCTTCCCCATGAACCTCTCTGGGCTGAACTCGTTTGGGTTCTCCCACACTGCTGGGTCCCTCCCGATGGTCCACACATTCACCAGCACTCGAGTGCCTTTCGCTATGTCGTACCCTGCTATTTGGCAATCCTCTCGGCACATTCTCGGCACTAGCATTGGCGCTACTGGGTGCAGCCGCATCGTCTCTTTGGCTATTGCGTCGATGTATGGTAAGGATGCGATGTCCTTCTCTTCCACCCATCTTTCCTTTCCGATCACTCTGTCCAGCTCTTCCCTTGCCTTGTTCAATATCTCTGGCTTTCTCAAAAGCTCCGACATTGCCCATTCTACTGTCACCGCTGAGCTCTCTGTTCCGCCTGCTATAAGGTCCTGAAAGTGAAAAACAGATCATTAGGAGAGGTTTGTAGTAGGCGTTGTTGGGAGGGAGTCTTACGTCGGATAATTAAGAGAGATCATGAGTTTATAAGTAAAGAATGTATGAACCCTTTTGGAGAAACCAAAAGCAAAACTATAAGAGCTATTGCTCAAAATAGACGATATCATATCATTGTGAAGGTTCGTGATTCCTACATGGTATCAAAGTCATGTCCTTAACTTAGTCATGTTCAAATTCGTGATTCCTAACATGGTATCAAAGTCATGCTCTTAGTATAGCCATGTCACAATAGAATCATCCTCAAGCGTGGAACAAAGAAATTGTGAGTCTCGAAAGTGTAGTCAAAAGTGACTCAAGCGTCGAACAAAGAGTATACTTTGTTTGAGGGCACTCAAAGAAGAAGTCAAGCCTCAATTAAGGGTAGAGGCTCTGTTCGATAGCTCCCATGGGCCTTAGAGGAAGCTGTATGGTGTACTTTGTTCAAGATGAGGATTCAAGATGAGGATTGTTGGGAGAGAGTCCCACGTTCACTAATTAAGGAGATGATCATGGGTTTATAAGTAAGAAGCAGATCTCGTTTGAAATGAGGCCTTTCACAAAAACCAAAAGTAAAGCATCAAAACTTATGTTCATAGTAGACAATATCATATCATTACGAAGGTTCGTGATTTCTAATAATTTAGCTTTAATAAAAATGAGCTTACTTGAGTAAACGCTTTGACTCCATGGCGTTCGAGTTTGACTTCAAGATCAGGATCATCAGCCAATTGCAACAAAACATCCACCATATCTTGAGCCACATAATCCTTAACACCCTCCCTCCTCGCATTATGTTCATCCAACACATGTTCAAGAAACCTATCAAATTTCTTACTCAAAGCCTTCATCCTCTTCACATACCCTTGCAAATCCAAGAAATCAATCCACGGTATAGAATCCCCAATATTAAGAACACCACTCAACAAGAACAACTCATCCAACATCTTCTTGAACTCATCCGGACTAACAATACCATTCTCCGACTCATCCGTATACTTCTTCCCCAACACCATTCGACTTATAACATTCAAACTCACAGTGGATAAGTAATCCTTAACCTTGATAACATCCCCACAAGACCTGTAAACATCTCGAAGCAGAGCATTCATTTCTTCCCTCCTGATGTACTCATAAGAATCAAGCCGTTTAGCACTAAAAAGCTCCATCAAACACATCTTACGAGCTTGGCGCCAATAAGGGCCGTATTGAGACCAAGTGATGTCGGAATAGTTATAGGTGGTGTATTTTCCGGCGGCGGTTTTGGGGCGAGACACGAAGTTCAGATCATGGGTTTTGAGGAAAATCTTAGCCATCTCGACGGAGGAGCCAACGACGACGGGGAATGAGCCGAAGCGAAGATGCATGATGGGGCCGTATTTTTTGGAGAGATGATGAATGGATTGGTGAGGCAGAGAGCCAATTAAGTCGAGGTTTCCGATTAATGGCCATGGTTTAGGTCCGGGAGGGAGATTGAGATTGCGGCGGCGAAGGCGGCGGGAGAGGAAGAAGAGGGCGAGAATGGCCAACCATGCGGCGGCGTAAGAAACCCATGAAGGAAAGAGCTCGATGGAATCCATGGTGATCGGAGCTAGAAACAGAGGAGATGGTGAAAGATGGTGGAAATCCGATGAGGATTAAAGGGTATTTATAGGGATGAAATTAGGTAGAAAATTAGGACATAATTTCGTGAAAGATGTTACATTAATTTCTTCGAAGTTTCAGCTGAAATTCGTCGGAGCCACAGAATGTGACTTGGGAGTAAGAAGTAAACGCAGGGAGGACATGGAAATTTGGGGAGAATTCAAGTGAAATTGGGGAGTGGGCCATGTCAGTGTGAACGCTGCTGGTAGTTGTCGTTCCGAATCTTGAACTACAAATTGATCCTAAATTAATAATTTTGTATTTAAAATATCTCATAGATTTTTTAATTTAATTACAGTTTGGTATATATTTTAATTATGCATTTGCTATTTATTGATAATTTTTTGTATTATTGGTTACGTTTGCTTAGGTAGTTTTATACGTGTCTATAGAGTAAAGTAGCTATAGAGAGGTGGCTTTTCCCGTCTCTATTTCATATTTTAATTTTTATCGCCCTGAAATTGTTCATTTATTTTTTAGGACATTAAAGTAGAGATTTTTATAGAAAATTTGTGGCATCCAAATTTTGTAAGAGAATTTTGCCCCTTTATATATTATTTATTTATTTAAGGTATGTTTATTTAAAAAAAAAATTAATGTATAATTTCTTACCCCTTCTAATAAATCTAATAATATTTTATATACAAAAATATAAGTAAATTATAGAAACTCAAATTAATATTTTATATATAAAAACATAACATAATCTTAAACATATTTTATAAACACTTAAATTTTAATAATATAGTAAAGTTTTATTTATTTATTAGATAGATAGATTTATTTATTAATTAGATAGATAGATTTATTTATTTATAGATAAATAGATCCGTAGCTAGATAGATAGACGGACAAATAGGTAGATGAGTAGATTAATAGCTAGGTCCTATGAAAATTGAACTTTGTGTCAATTCTAACATCCAAGTCTCGAGCCACATTTTAAGAGAAAAGGTTTTAGAAAATGTGGTCGAAGAAAATCGTTGAAATTAAGTATTGTGTAAGTCAATTGCATTGAAAACACGTGAGTAAGAGAGATTATAATACTTGATTGGGGAGGTTTGATGACCACTTGTTCCTCCAACAGGACATTTTGAGGTGATCCATGTTTGACCGACCTAAATATGATTTCGTTGAACCGTTAAACAAACAGAAAATACAATAGTAAAGGAATACAACATGAAAGCAAATAAAGGGTTTGGCATCACATGGACACGCAACCACGACAACACGCCTTGAATAAGCATGATCATGACATCCTTCCCCACCTAATTGGTTAACGTTCCTATCAGCTAGCTATCTTCAAACCCAGCAATGTGGATTGCGGCGGAGTCTAAGTCTTCGACGTGTTTCCAGTCCTTTTCCTCTATTAGGAGGTTCTTCCATTTGACTAGAAAATTCTGAATCCTCTATTGGCTACGATTGCTTCGATCCCCTTGGTGTCCTTTTGTTTCAGATTGATTCCAAGCCTACTGATAAATTTTCAATTGTCATTATCTAGATCGAGTTGATAAGGTTTTAGGTTACTCACCTGAATTACTAGGTGAATTTTCATCCATGTGGGCAATGCCACTCTGTAAGATATAGACCCGATCTTCTTGAGAACTTTAATCGGTCCTTCATACTTTCTAACAAGTCTCTGATCCTTTCGGCTGCAGAATCTAATTTATTTTGGCCTCATTTTTATAAAGACTTGTTCTCCTCTTCGAAATTGGAGGGGGCGACACTTCTTGTCCGCCCACTTCTTTGTGTGTCTGGAAGCTTTCTCCAAGTAAGCTCGGGCTATACCTATTGTCTGCTTCCAATTTTATTGTTAAGTTTCGGGCTTGAGGTTTCATCCCTACATATGAGTAGTAAATAATATGAGGTAGGGCTCGTTGTTGTCCACTCACAATTTAAAAGGGGCTCTTCCGAGTAGACGAACTAGTTTGACAGTTAAAACATAATTGAGCCACATCTACCAATTGTACCCAATTCTTACAACAAGCACTAACAAAGTGATGCAAGTACTCTTCGAGCAAGCAACTAAATCGCTTTGTCTGTTTATTGGTCTGGGACATACCATATTTGATCTCAGTGAGTCACTCGACTTGTGACTTAGCCAACTGTTATTGTGCCGACATCGTTTCAGTCTTTGATGGGACTAGGAGCTAATGAAGCTCTGATACCACTTATCATAATTCCAATTTTTAGGTAGCGGACTAACAATTGTGCAGTACTTACTCTAATCCAACTAACAAGTCAGCATGTGAAAATCAGACTTTGCAGTCAACTATAACGTATGGTCGAACTTCGAGCCACGTTTTGAGAGAAATTTTTTTATAGAATGTGATCGAGAAAAATCATTGAAAAACAAATCGAAATTAGGCATCGTGAAAGTCAATTGCATTGAAAACATTAGGGCAAAGGAGATTACAACATTTACTCGGGATAGATTTGATGACTACTTAGTCCCCTTGTAGTACATTTTAATGCGATTCATGTTTGATAAACCTAAACACGATTTTGCCGAACGGTCATACGAACAAAAAAAATAATAATAATAAATTAATACAACATGAAAGCAAATAAAGGGTTTGACATGGCATAAACATGCGTCCCCCGGCAACCCACACTAAATAAGCATGACCTTGAGCGTGTCTTCTTAGGTAAAAAATGGGCCTTAGTGGGCCGGTGCTTATTTTGATTACTTGGGGCCTTGAGCATCCAAAAGTGGAGCCTAGTCCCGTACGCTCCCCATCCTTATATACTCCTAATTTTCTTCTCTCCTTCTCTGCCCAGCCGGAGGAAACCCTAATTTCGTTTTGCTAGAACCTGCACATTATCAGGGGTAGCTCTGTTGCCAGTTAGTAATTTTCTCTCTATTGACTATACGCAATCTTTATCTATATTTTTTAATTTGAATTCACTGTCGCTTTTAATGAGTTTTTCCTCGGTTTCTAAATGGATTCTGATAATATAATTCTTTGCATTTGGAATTAGAGCTGTAGTTTTGTTTCACCCTCTTTGCTATGTGCTTCTATTCTCTTTAAGGTGTTTAGAAGGATTTTCCGAGTGCATTTTTAGTATTGGACTTTTAGGAATATGATTCTGGATGTGTACATTTAGCCTGATAGAGGAAAGATAAGTAAAGATGGGTTTCATTACTTTTCGTTTTTCAGAATCGATGAAAGAGAGAAATGTTCTGTTGTTATGAATATATTTTCTTCTTTTTTTTTTAATATCATCCTCACCGCCGTCAGTCTAGTTAAAATAATTAATCGTTCTGTGTTTCAATTTTTTTCAATCTGTTTCTTTTTTCTTACAGCTGTTTTATCATCACATTTTAGACGAAATTCTTGTTCTAGTTTATATTAACCATTGATAATATGTATATCAATACATTTAATAGTATTTGCAGTTTTTTTTCTTTTCTTTTTCTTGAAATTTGTTATTGGAAAACTAGTTTATACAGCGAATCTTAATTAAATGATGGCTTCGGCATTTTATTGTACATAAGCGAGAAAGTGATTGGAAATATCATAGTTCATTGGAAGTTGATTAGTTTGTTCAATATATGTTTTCTTAGTTATGGGTGAAGAAGTCAAGGCATTGATTCCGGAGTCAGTTTTGAAGAAGACGAAGAGGAATGAAGAATGGGCATTGTCAAAGCAGCAAGAATTTGAAGCGGCCAAGAAGAAGAATTCAGAGAATCGTAAGCTGATTTTCAACAGAGCTAAGCTATATTCAAAGGAGTATGAAGAGCAGGTATACATTGTTTTCCCCCTTCTTAAGTTACCTATTTTATTATGTTAAATCCCTTGAGTTTGATGCTTTCATTTTAGAGCATTTACATTTGGTTTTTGAATTTGAGTAGGAAAAAGAGCTGATTAGACTGAAGCGTGAGGCCAAATTAAAAGGAGGATTTTACGTTGTCCCTGAGGCTAAATTATTGTTTATCACTCGCATTCGTGGGTATGTGTCTTTTTTTAATGAACTGATTTATTGCTATACATGATCTTATTTTCTGATGTCCCAAAATTTGATGAAATATCAGTATCAATGCCATTGACCCAAAGACGAGAAAGATATTGCAACTTTTGCGTTTGAGGCAGGTACAATATCAAAAGTTCACATGGTTGAGTTAGTTCCCTATTGTTGTTAGGCCTAGTGGTCATGATAATTGGGCACGTTTGAAATGCTGGTATAGTTTTTGATTAAAACAGGAGAGATCTAGCTGGTTGTTATTGTTCGTGCCATAATTGCTTCGTTTTTTGTTTCAGATTTTCAACGGTGTCTTCCTCAAAGTGAACAAAGCAACATTGAATATGCTGCACAGGGTCGAGCCTTATGTGACCTATGGGTATTTCTCGTCGTAGAGATTTTAATTCTTAGAACTTTCTTCCAACTTAACAGACTGTTTGAAGTATTAATGCGATTTTTTCAGCTACCCCAATTTGAAGAGCGTTAAAGAACTTATTTACAAGAGGGGTTATGGGAAGCTAAACAAGCGGAGAGTAGCATTGACTGACAACTCAATTGTGGAGCAGGTCTCTCTCTTTCTTCCATCTCTTATTCTCATCTAAGTTTTAATGGTTAGTGTTTCTTATATTCTCTTATTGAATGAAGGCTCTGGGTAGATATGGCATCATCTGCATGGAAGATCTCGTCCATGAGATCATGACTGTCGGTCCTCACTTTAAGGAGGCGAATAACTTCCTATGGCCCTTTAAGTTGAAGGCACCTTTGGGCGGATTGGAAAAGAAAAGGAATCACTATGTTGAAGGGGGAGACGCAGGCAATCGCGAGAATTACATCAATGAGCTTATCAGGAGAATGAACTAGGTGAGGAACAATTTTGTTGTCATTGATTCTTGGTTTTTTTCTGTCCAATCACTGGAAGTAGAAACAATTTTGTTCACAAAGTTGGTCAAATCTTTCTACATTTAAGTAGCGTAGACTTGGTTTATGTCAGATACTACACTTTGAGTGCCTTAATGCTAATTTTAGTTTTATCTTTTCAATTTTTATTTGGTTGTAACAGTAGGATTAGAGAGGCCTACTTGTGGTTTAAAATGTTGACAAAACTAAGGCA